TTTTTCAGAATCACATTTATATGTATACAACATAGCTGATTCTGACACTGGTTTTAAATGATATCTTTTCTTCTTATTTTTTTCCATGCCTCACAAATGCAATTATATTGTGTGTGAAATTCTTAAATCAACATGGTTACTGATGGCAGCTGGTCTCACTCATGCATCTGAAGTCTGAAGTTGGCATGCAAGTATTCTTGAGGCATAGGCTCAGACAGCTACATTGTCTTCTACCACTTTCTGTAGGTCCAAGAAACCTAAAGGTCCAAAACCAAAAGTTTCCACTGCCATTAAGTCAAATATGACTGATAGCAACTCTATATACGATTTATGGGAACTTGTAAATCTTTATAGGAACAGGCAGCAGCATCCCTCTCTCCTGGCTGGTGAGTTTACATCACTGACTGTGCAGCTAGATGACCAGTGCTTATAAAGGTTCAAGGGTGAGGAATAGACTTCATCTCTTGATGGAAATACTTATAAACTAAATGGAGGTGAAAATGAATATAAAGAATAATATGTTTAAAGCATTATACCATGAAATGTTTTTACAAAATAAAATAACACAGTTCCAATACAAAGTTTCAAAAAGTACAGGTTAATGAAAACAAATGAACCAACAAAAGACGCACAAGGACATTATCTATTGTTAAAATGAAGAAAAGATTTACTCTGACTTTGAATATGAATATAATATGTAATTTTCAATAAGTAAAACATTTCCAATATAACTCTTTTCAATTTTCAATAAGTAAAACATTTCCAATATAACTCTTCATCTTTCTCAATAAGTGTGGTAAAATGTAATTTAAATTGCAAAATTGATTATCTTAGTCAAGATCAGTCGTATCTTTTAGGTCAAATACTTTGATGGTGCTTTTTAGATAAGTCAACTGATATACAATTGCATAAATAAATACAACTCAGAAATGATTAGTGCTGTAATTATGAAGGAAAATTACTATGACTTGTTCTTTTATCAATATTAATAGTACACACCAATGTGTGTAAAACTATGAATTACTCAATATGGCCTTCTTATGATAACCTAAAAAAATCGTGATGTTTTTGCAATTATTCTTGTTGTTCTTAGGTGCCATCAAGTAAAGTCCAACTCATGGAGACCCTATGTACAACCGAAGGAAAGATGGCACGGTCCTGTTCCAGCCTCACCATTGTTATGTTTGAACCTATTGTTGTAACCCTATGACAGTGTAACTCATCTAGGAACTTCCTCTTTTTCGCTCTCTATTTTACCAAGCACAATGTCCTTTTCCAGGAAAGGACTATCCTGATAGTAAATATGGACTACAGGAAACAAAACCTTGGCATCTTCCCTTGTAGAAGCGTTCTGAGCCTGCCACTTCCAAGATAGATGTGCCTGTTCTTCTGGCAATCCATGGTGCTTTCAACATTCTTCCTATTCTGTGCTCGCCCTTGTTTGCTGTCTAGTTTTCACATGCACATGAGATGATTGAAAATATTATGGCTTCAGTCAGGCACATCTTAGTGTTGAAAATTACATCTTTGCTCTTTAATATTCCAAAGAGGTTATGTGCAATAGATTGGCCAAATACATTATGTCGTATGATTTCTTGAATGTTGCGTCTATGAGCACAAATGGGGTGCAGCTACGCAAATAAGGTGCGGTGGTCTATCAAAATAAGTAGGCAGTTTGTTGCTAATACAAATAAATTATTTGGAACCTGTTCAATTAAGGTTATATGTCAACTTAATTGGGGCTTGATTTTCAGTGGTTTGACAGTTGAAAACTGATATGC